CCAGCGCCAGAGTGGGTGGACCAAAGACAATGATCAAGCGATTTGTCTTGTGCCATCCATCTCCAGGGACACCATTCCTACCCCCGGGCTAATAGCCTTTTATGGACCTAATCTCCATGAATTTATCTAGTAATCTGCCATTTGCCTTATAGACCCACAATGGAATCAGGGCTCTGTACAACACCCAGGAAGGGACAATCCCTGGCCTGGGCAGGTCACAGTCTAGTTAGACAAATGGTGGGAAGGGAAAGTGAGGCAGCAAGTTCCCTCATGGTCACCAAGCATGTCAGCGATGGAGTAGAGCTCCGAACCCTGCTCTCTCCAGACTCAGTCCAAGGCTACACTAACCACTAGGCTGCATTCCCCCAGGCCCTCGGCATCACTGAGCAGTGATGAAGTGTGGCCCGTAGGAGGGAAGGCCCTCGGCATCACTGAACAGTGATGAAGTGTGGCCCGTAGGAGGGAAAGATGCCTTGCTACAGGCCCCAGGCCCAGCAGGGAGAGGTGGTTTCACACTGAGATGCTGAACTCCTGGGCTGCTCCATGAGGGGTTAAACTCAGATGCTGCAGTCAGCACTAGAGGAGGTCGCTGGCCTGGATGCTGTGTGGGATCCCAAGCGCCTTGAGTCCACCCACAGCATCACTCCAGGCAGCGCAGGGCCATGTCAGGCACCACTGGGATTTGACTGGGTTGTAGCCAGAGTTCAAACTGGTTAACTGACGAGCTAATGCATATTGGTGCCAGTTACTGGTTAAACTCCCCACTGCCCTCAGCAGTGCCTGCTTCCCCTGGCAGCTAACATCAGTCTGCAGCTGCTGGGATTCCCCACCTGCCAGCAGTCCTTGTGGCCACCCCAGCAGACCCCAGGAGAGCCCATGTCCATTACCGGTCTTGCCTGTCAGCAGGTTAAAAAATACTGTCACTGAGAAAATTGTAACCGGTTACATAATTCCTATTTTTAACCCTTTTTACCTCACACATCCCCACTTGAATCATTCTTTATGAAGGGGCCACCACCGATCCGTCCCCCACCCATCTGCAGCCTCCTCCTGTCTCTTTTTCTATGGACAAAGCCCTGTACAGGGCTGAGTCCCTGCCAGACAGGGACAGAGCTCCACGAAACTGGGACTGTGCAGTTTAAAGGCAGACAAATGGGCTCCCGACATCTCATGGGGTTTGCCCTGGTGTTTATTTCTGTTTCTTTAGGGAAAACGTGAGGTGTATTTGAAGACTCGGAGGGAAAAGAGAGAAAAGCTGCCGGGAAGGAAGGTGACATCAGAAGGGAAAAGCCAGGAGTGTCTGGTAAGTGCCTGTGGCTATGGACCAGCAGGACCTTGGATTTTCCTGCCAAGTGGCACGAGGGTTCCATTTTCCTCAGATCGGCCCTGCCCTGGTGGCTTTATAAGGGCTGAATCGCCTCAGCCTTAGGGCTACCTACCCTCATGGCAGCAGCACCTGGGTCCCTCTGCTCTGCCCTCTGAAAAGGAAGGATAACCCCAGCAGCACCTGCAGGGGGGAAAGAAGGAGATTTTACTATCTCCCCCCCCCACACACACACACACTCTGCCTGTAGCACCTACAGCCTGTGACTCCCACCTGTCCAGGGCAGGGCCTGTGGGACTCTCCAGGGCTCCTCCCCTAGGGCCCCCAATCAGCCTGAGGGTGGAAGGTCCTGGGCACCCCCCAGCACCACTGCCGAGTCCTCAGGAGAGAAAGGGCCCAGTACTCAGAGGTTGTTATTACCATTTTAACACACGGAGCCACGGGGTTTGATTTGGTGCGTCTGGGCTTCAAGCCTCTGTTTGTGCTGCCACTGTCAGCAGCACGTTATATCTACGTCGGGTTATCTCCCCATTTCTCCCTCTGCTTGAGGGAGCCTGGCACAGGGGCAGAAAGGTAAGAAAAGAGGGTGGGTTTTTGAGGAGATAAGAAGTGAAGGAGCCTTTTAACTGCTCCCTTCCTCAGTGTCGTCTAGGCTGGGAGTCCAGCTTTATAAGCTAATTGTAAAGGTGAGGTTGGAGTGAATCACTGCTTTAGGTGAGGATTGAACTCGAAATCTCAACACTTCTTTTCAGAGTATGGCCCTACAAGTACTGTCTGCTAAACAGCTGGGCTACGGGGGGGGGGTGTTCACAGAGGATGGAGCCAGGCTATTTTCTGTGGTATCAGATGACAGAACAAGGCACAATGGTTAGGTTGACTAGTTAGAAAAATGGTAGGAGGGTGGTGAAGTATTGGAAAAAGTTACCTAATGAGCTGGTGGGATCTCCATGCCTGGAGGTTTTTAAGACCAGGCTTGTCAAAGTTCTGACTGGGGTGATTTTGGGGGGGCTGAATTGGATTAGAGACCTCGTGCGACCTCTTCCAGCTCTTGACTTCCATGAGTCTCTGAACTCTGGGTTTCACCGGCAGCATTGAAATAAAGGAAAACATTTAAGACACCCATTAAAGGTGAAAACAAGAAAACACTGTATTAGGGATTTTATACAATATTAAGGGAAATGCAAACTAATAACCTTTAACAAAACAGTGGAAGTGAACAGTAAAACCCTTAATGTCCCAACTGGACTGTGTGAAAATAATTGGTAAGTTCCACCCCAAATACAAATGGTTCCTTTATTCTTCTGGACTGGAGTGGCGGAGCCAGAGGTGTGAGCCCAGGACCTGCAACCTCTGGGCTGGTTGAGCCCTGAGGGAGGAGCGCTGGGGAGTCCCTTGCTGGTGGTACAGGAACCCTGAAGAGGATGGCAGGCAGGTGGCACTTGTGTAGATGGAAGACAGTGGTTGGGGTGCTGCCTTCTACTCCTCTGACTGGCTTGCAGCTGGATCAGATCCCTTGGTGGTCTGAGGAGAGAGAGCTGACAACCCGCGCAAATACTGCCTCTGAGACGGACAGCACCCCCCATGGGCTATGTCTGGACTTATAAAACCTTCAGGGCGGGAAACCCCTGAGGTGACTTTTACCATTTGACCCATCAATGGGGACCAGTTCTGAGGTAAATAAGAAAAAGGCGGGAAATTCCAGTCTGTGCAGGTTTTTGTTTACCACTCTGAGGTGAAGGGCTCCTCCCTGTCCTGAGGTCACCTGGTATACAGAGGCCATATTGTTTTTCACAAACAGCCTAGAAATACCATTTAACATTATCTTATGAACATACAAATGTGTGTAATTAACATATATACTTAATTGATTACGATCATCAGAAGACTGGCCTACAGAGTGTCCACCCTGCCTAGCACCTTATGTTAACATCTGTTCTCTTGCTTGCCTTGGGGAATACTGCTACTTCCAAACTAGTTATTGCGACCTCCCCCAAGGCTACGTCTGCACTCGTGGCTTCTTGCGCAAGAACATTTTGCGCAAGTGTTTTTGTGCAAGAACACGTCCACCCTGCCATGTGCGAGCTGTGCTTTTGCACAAGAAAACGTCCACGCTGCCATGTGCGAGCTGTGCTTTTGCACAAGAAAACGTCCACGCTGCCATGTGCGAGCTGTGCTTTTGCACAAGAAAACGTCCACGCTGCCATGTGCGAGCTGTGCTTTTGCACAAGAAAACGTCCACGCTGCCATGTGCGAGCTGTGCTTTTGCACAAGAAAACGTCCACGCTGCCATGTGCGAGCTGTGCTTTTGCACAAGAAAACGTCCACGCTGCCATGTGCGAGCTGTGCTTTTGCACAAGAAAACGTCCACGCTGCCATGTGCGAGCTGTGCTTTTGCACAAGAAAACGTCCACGCTGCCATGTGCGAGCTGTGCTTTTGCACAAGAAAACGTCCACGCTGCCATGTGCGAGCTGTGCTTTTGCACAAGAAAACGTCCACGCTGCCATGTGCGAGCTGTGCTTTTGCACAAGAAAACGTCCACGCTGCCATGTGCGAGCTGTGCTTTTGCACAAGAAAACGTCCACGCTGCCATGTGCGAGCTGTGCTTTTGCACAAGAAAACGTCCACGCTGCCATGTGCGAGCTGTGCTTTTGCACAAGAAAACGTCCACGCTGCCATGTGCGAGCTGTGCTTTTGCACAAGAAAACGTCCACGCTGCCATGTGCGAGCTGTGCTTTTGCACAAGAAAACGTCCACGCTGCCATGTGCGAGCTGTGCTTTTGCACAAGAAAACGTCCACGCTGCCATGTGCGAGCTGTGCTTTTGCACAAGAAAACGTCCACGCTGCCATGTGCGAGCTGTGCTTTTGCACAAGAAAACGTCCACGCTGCCATGTGCGAGCTGTGCTTTTGCACAAGAAAACGTCCACGCTGCCATGTGCGAGCTCACTCTCCACAGTAATTCATACTAATGACTCCCCAGTGCTTCGTGGGCCTCTAAGTCGAGATAGCGTGTCCACATTCACGGGGTCTGCCTCACTCATTTCGAGGCGCTGTCATCGTTTGGACACGCAATTTCAATTTTGTAAAAGCAGGAGTTAAATCGAATATGAGAGCGGGACAGGACCAGGCCTGTGTGTGGCCACCCTCTGGCTCCTCAAATGCTGAGCGTAGGCCTCGCCAACCAGCACACGGGTGGCTGTTGACGCACTGTGACAGTGTGAGAAGGTGGCAAGAAAGCAGGGCCAGGCCCCCTCACTGCTGCCACTCTAGGGGCTTACTGAGGCAGGAGATGTTCCCTCAAGAGGCCTTTCCCCTTCAAGTGACAAGCAAAGAAAATCTAGGGCCCAGACATGCTAATAAATAAGCCCCTCAAGCCCAGGGGCCCATCAGGGAGAGAAAAACTGCCCCACACAATTGCCTGGCATTAGCCTTCTCCCTCTGGCAAGGGCTGCAGTGGGAGCAGCCAGGGCTCCAGCCTGACCAGCAACTCCTTCCCAGAGCCTAGCTGGAGCCAGACCAATGCTCAGAAGAGCCAAGAAAAGGTTTCTAGTCTGAAAACAGCAGGGCCCACACAAAGCAAAGTCAGAACAATTGCAAAGGGACTCAAGCCCTCAGTCGTCTGCTCTAAAGTTAGATGCTTTATCCATTAGGCCACACAGTCTTGCCTGGCTCCAGCATGGACATTTTGAAATGTGTAAGTAGGGAAAAGTTTAGACCGTCCCTCAGGTTTTCCTATTTTCCTTGTTTGAGGAGTTTGAAATCATGTCTGAGCTGATGAATTATTTTTATTTTTTGTAACTAAGAATTTTTCCTGAGTCTGTCACTTCATGGCTATCTAACATCTAGTAATTTACTGTGCTTGCAACAGTAGTTTTGTTTTGTTAATAAAAGTGTTTTCCAATTTCTTTTGATAACCGGGATTGATTGATTGTGTCCGTAAGTTTACATGCCTAGTTATGCAGGCAGAGTCCATTGTTCTCTGTGGATTTCCCCGTTTGTTTTCCGAACTCCAAACAAAAAGGAGGTTGGAGCCGCAGGGAAAGCTTTGCCTTGGGGGGGGCTACCCAAGTGATATTTTCCTGGAAAGGGTTTATTGTCTGTTTTCTTTTATTTACTTGGGTGGTGGCAGCAAGAAATCAGTTTTTGTCGTTTTTGGATCTCAGGGGGACTGAGAGTGAACAAGTTTGTCTCTGGGAGTCTGCCGGCTTTAATGGAGCTGAATCCCCATCTCTGCGCGCGGAGGCTATGGGGTGAAACATGCAAGTGGAGCTAAGTGTGGAATATCGCTGCACTTCATTTGCATAATTGAGGCTCCATTTTTGCACAAGTGGCCATTTGTGACCAAATGCCCTATAGCCAGAGGGTTCCAGCCTGGGGAGAGATGGGGCAGGACTTGAACCCCCCACAGCTGGCAAGGCCGCCCCCATGGGAGGACAGAAAGAGGCTGAAGACGTTTTGACAGCGGCCCAGGAAAGCTGTCAGCCTGGACACCCCCCCCCGCCGCAGCGCGATCCCCTGCAGTCTCCAGTCTTGCATCACTCCCCCGCATCCCTGGGCCCCCTGGCTCCCGCCCCCCACAGACACGAGAGCAGGGGACTGCGCGCACCTCGCCCGGGCTCCGCCCCCCTGTCGCGTCACCCGCGA